ACGTCAAACAGCCAGATGGGTCACGACTAGGAGTTCAGATCATATATTCCACCTGATCGGGGCAAGACCATCATGCCAAAATGGAAACATCCAAGGCCCTACAACTTACGGGCCAGTTTTTGAGGCCCCGGGTGGCACTAACCATCCCCTCCTATTGTTCACGACAGAGGTGGCGCTGCGCACAATCCACTTTTCACGTCCCCATACCTTCACAAGAATGCTGTTTCACATTGTTGCTGTTTTGGACCAAGGTCCGCGACTGTTTTCGTCGGCCGAAGTCTTGTGCTTCAGTGTTCTCAACTGACACTGTTTTCAGAACAATCTGCAGCTGCCCACGGCATCACAGTCCATTCCCACTCGACATACATGCATGTTGCAGCACAAACATCCACCAGCTTGACTCGACTAGTCTGCCCACCCGTCCATGCGTCCATTCATCTATCCACCACTCATCTTCCATCCATTTGTGGCATTCCTTCAAGAACTCTCTAATGTACTCCAAGTCATTGGCAATGCAAGATAGAAGTGGGCAACGCCGCTCAAGCTCACACCATACCAGGTGACTGAAGAATACATATACTATGGAGACAAAAGCGAAATACCGCCGACTCCTAATACACCTATCGTATGAGTCATCACATCTCTCTCTCTCTCTCTCTCTCTCTCTCTCTCTCTCTCTCTCTCTGTGTGTGTGNCAAAAGCGAAATACCGCCGACTCCTAATACACCTATCGTATGAGTCATCACATCTCTCTCTCTCTCTCTCTCTCTCTCTCTCTCTCTCTCTCTCTCTGTGTGTGTGTGTGTGTGTATGTGTGTGTGTGTGCGTGTGTATGTGTGTGTGTGTGCGTGTGTGTGTGTGTGTGTGTGCGTGTGCGTGTGTGTGACCCGACGGTACTCCTTCCTTCATTCACAAACTTGTACAACCGCTGTCCTTGTGGTCAAGTCTGGCAAGTCGAGTGGCATCATACGCGGCGCCCATATTCTCCTCTTTACTCTCACCCTCAGGAAGAGGCAGGCTCTCAACCATCGTATCTGGCCACCTGCTGATGTACCCAGTGTTCACTGCTCCTTCAAATAAACATCATGTCCCAACAGATGAGCACAAGCTTCTCCAAGGTTGTGCTCAAAAGGCACTTCCACCTCCGCATGCGATTGTAACTTGAAGATCAGCCCGCTCTTCTCACGGGGCTCGCCATAACAGAGGATATCCCAAACACAGGAGTAGTGATGAGCTGCTACCTCAGCTGATCCTTCCCATGCATGTGTCACTTATGGCTCAAGCTGGCATCATCAACAGGAAGCAAAAACCCCACAAAGCTGCCCACACCGTGGGGTCGTTGACATGGAATGCGTGCAATGAAATTCTCTGTAAATTGACGGAACACTTCGCATCGACCTTCTAGTATTAGCCAATTTGGTACATCAACACATCTTTCTATACTGATACCCATCTTTCTGATGTCTACTAGCTTAACTCGTGAACTTCATGAACATGTGCAATGAACTCCACTGCCCTTTGCATCGCCCAGCTACCGCTGATCAACCAGATGCCACTGCTCGGCGGAGAATCCAACAGGAACGATGCAGCATGGGCCGGATGACACATCATGGAAACGAGCTCACACAGTCCCGGGACTTGATCCATCACCAGCTCGAGGACAAAAACACAGAACCAAAAGACTTGGTCGGGAACAACCGTCCATCCAAGTCCATGAGGCAAAGGAAGCCGTTTGCGAGTTGGAAGAGAGTCGAGAGACCTCGCCATCTGCCGCCAATTGTCTAGCAAATATCCCAAGCCATAGTGTAGCCTCTCTTACACGCTAGAGCTGTCCTCCGCCACTCCACTGCTCTGGAATTTACTCCAAACAACATACAATCCACGGCACTTCAACCTAGACGATCACAACCAATTCCGACAATCTCTACCAACTACCCAAACCTCATCTCCGTGAGCCTCATGGAATAGGGGTGGGTAGGGCTGTCCTCGTTTCTCGACAAACTTAGTGGCTGATGACAGTTCACGAAGATCCTTGTGGTCCCCCTCCTCGCAAGGCGGAGAATGAGAGCAGCCCAGGTATCGTTGCAATATCACAAAAGAGCACGAACGGCAATACCCAACATGTGAAATACGAGACCTCCTCGTCTGGGAGTACAGTTGCTGGTGTCTTCACATCATCAATGCATACACCATTGGCGTACCGGACCTAGATTGCGCCCACATCTCATAACCCTCCCAAATCTCATAATAGAGTGCCTGGTCAGTCTTCCATCGCTCTCTCCCAAATCGATGATCCTCGTCAGGCTGAGCACCATTCTGAGCTCATCCCTCTCTCCCAAATCGATGATCCTGGTCAGGCTGAGCACCATTCTGAGCTGCCATAATCAAGATCACAATTGGATTATATTCCTACTCCGTGAAAACATGCGTTAAGATAGTTCAACATGTCTGCGGCCACCTTTTCCTTGATCATCACCTCATCCACAACCTGGTCGTACATGTTGGCCAGGTGGTGCATCCTGCCCCCAGAACGATAGAAAGCCTCCGCAACACCACGTAAATATTGTGTGCTGGCGCCCTACTACACCATCACACTCTGTGCCAGAATGATATTACACCTTGGCAACACCACCAAATGTCATATTACCCAACACACATGTGGCTAGTCTCCGCATAACAGAAAATCAAAAGACTTCCCTCATCAACTGGCCTCGCTCAGTTGATACACCGTTGCAACTGCTGAAATACAGACCAGGTGCAGAGTTCGGACTCCACTGGAAGCAGATGAGTGAAGCACTACAATTCTGAATTACCTAGGACTGTTCAGCATTTATTAAAAAAAAAAGAAAAAAAAAGACTTCCCTCAGTCCAACAGTTCCCTCGCCTACAGGCTGTCCAGCTTCACCCGCAGACGATTCCTCTGCCACCGGCCCACCCTTCCCTGCACATCTCACCAGGGCACACCAGCACTAAGTCGTAACGTCCTCAGCGCATTCCCCTAGTACCCGCCTCTGCTTCCGTAGGAGGTGACAACAGACGCCCAAAGTCTCCTGGGCCCTCCATGGCCACCGTGAGAACTCGAAGAATGAAGGCAATAATGGTCCAGAGGTCAGGCAGCGTGCGTAAGCCTGGCTTCTTGTGTCAGTCTCCCATCACTCGTTTGGAGGAGACGCGAGGGGCATGCCCAATGGTTGGGGGAATCAGGGAGGGGAGAGGGGACAGGGGCGAAGGGAGAGGAGAGCATAAAAATCCAAGAGGAGGAAAGGAGGTACACATACAGGGGAGGAGGAGGGGAGAAGTGAATGGCAAGGACCACAAAGTCGAGAGGAAAGAAAGGTGGGTGGACCCGTGGCAGAAGATGGGAGACGAGTGAGGGACCTGAGGACGAATGGCAATCAGAAAGATTGAGGTAGGACGGAGGGGTGCATGAATAGTGGGAGCAAAAGTAGGGAGGAGCAAAAAAAAGGGGGCAGAAAGGAGGAAGGGTCATGCAAATGAATCAGAAGGCGGGGGGGGAATACACTGAACAGGTGTTAGAGCGAGCCAAAAAGGCAGGGGATGGATACGAGGCTAGCTGGGGTAGGGAGGAAGGGGCCTCTCTCTCTCTCTCTCTCTCTCTCACACACACACACACACACACACACCTCTCTCTCTCTCTCTCTCTCTCTCTCTCTCTCTCTCTCTCTCTCTCTCTCTCTCTCTCTCTCTC